TCATCTGTACACTACAGAAAAGAAGAAAAAAAATATAGTAGAAATCCCACATATCTGTGATTAGCTTGGTACCACCGTTCACACCTTACACGCATGATTTTTTTTTCTCATTCTCTGCACCATGAAATGTAGGACAGTCGATAAGTCTAGTCAGGAAAGCTTAGTGGCTCACGGCATTTGCTCTACACTGCGTTTACCACGTGCACGCGCATGTTCTTGCACCAGAAAAATATACAAATCTTAAATAAGAGTTCACCAGAAAGCTTTCATTGGTGGATTACGTGCATCAGAGTGCTACAACAAAAGCCTAGTTAATGGGACATGCATGTTTTTTTTTTCAGACAAAAAAATACCACTGCCTTCCGTCGGTCACAAACAATGCCACACAAATGCTCTTGAGAACGCAAGAAAAAAAATCAGTGAAATTATACACCACATATAAGGCATGCCGCCTGAATTATTTTCAATGCCCGGGATTTTTAAAACATTCTTAAATCTAAGCACACGGTTGCGCACGGTTACTCTCTAAGGTAAACTTTAAGTACCGATGTGTCACAGTTTGTGTGATAGTAATATTTCTATGTAGTGGTACCATGGCCAGATAAACACAGCTAAGTGACTCCTCGCATGATCGGTTAAATCACAGTGCCGTAGTTTTTCAAACAGCGCGCAAGTGCACGTTTTAAATTTTTTTTGCAACCGAGTCCTCATAAATTGTTGCTTTCACACACAATTTAATAGCAGTCATGTTTGGGAGGATGCCAAGAGCATTTTGCGATATGCTTAAAAGAGAAAGCGGCACCCACTCTGAATTTATCCTAGTGAATGGAGGGTATGACGAGAATAAAAGCGCTCTGGAAAGTTGCACTCGCCGTTTTATTACAATGTATCAGCAGTAGAGCAAGACCAAATGCTTTCGTACGTCGTTTCAGGCATACGATTAATCAGTTACACTCATGCTTACATGACCGGACAAACCACACTTTAAGAACGTGCATGACGTACGCACACATTGAAACACGACGCATGGAGCAATTCACACTTCGCCACTTCAGCTAATTGCCGCCAGGCGGCGACTCTGCTCAATCTCGCGGCCAATACAATGTATAGCTTATTAGATTCCGGTGGTACAGCCTACCTGTAATATATAATAAGTGGAAAAGTACCCCACACACACTCCAAAACATTCAAGCCCAGGCTCTTAGGATACGCCTTGGTTTACCCTACCGTGCATCGACGGCTCAAACGATTGCCATTGCGCAGGACTACCCTATCATGGCGCACATTGCCGTTGAAACGATGCGTACTTACCTCAGGCAATATTCTAGGCACCCGTCTCTTCACGTGGCGAGCCTCACTACTGAAAGGCCGCGTACGATATTTAGTGCAATCGTCTTTACGCATCGTGCATCGTTTGCGTCAGGGTATGTATACGCCTGCGGTAAAATTGGTGCATCCTCTGGGGTGCCTGACCATTCCACAAGTACGCCTTACAATTCCAGGATGGCATCGAGTTCGCCTTTGCCAGCGCTAAAACAATTGATTCTGCTTCTCTTCCACAAAATTTACAGTAAGCACATGTACATAAACACCGATGGTTAAACAATGGTGTATCTTTGGTGGGGTGGTGGTTATACCAGTTCGAGGATTAACCGCATGAATAAAGCTGTTACATGTCAATACGTCCACGGTGGCAGAACTTCCGGCTCTGCGTGGTGCCATAGAGTATATCGCATACCAGAGACAGACCAAATGGGCTGTGTTTTCATACTGTAAACCGGCCTTACTGTGCATGCAATCAGTTCTTCGACAAAGATGCCAGGAACATCTCATGTACGAGATTGTCTAGGTCCATCACCGTGTCACAGAAACAAGCCACAAGATCAATTTTTAGTGGCTACCTGGCAATGGTGGGATCTGTGGAAATGATTCCGCAGACAACGCGTGGCTCGCAGATCCCACCGAGAAGAGTATACCCTTCCGTTCCCTCTGTTAAGGAAAGACGCTTCAAGGCAACTTCATCACCTGGCATGTCTGTGTTTACTGGAGTGGAACACGCCAAGCATAGAAGATACAAGACTCCACAAAATAAACCCTCAACTGCAACTTCAACATCCGTCCGGAATTCGTCAACCTGAAGCTTTGTTTCTTTGTCGGCATTGGGTGGGAGTTACTTTCACAAACGAATATGCAACCTTTATTGCGGTGACCGGCAGTGCGCAATGCGAGGTCTGCAGCACGAAAGATGACATCGACCATCTGCTATGCCGTACCCCTCGTTTTGGCTTTGAGAGACGAAAATTTGCTTACGCGTTGCGACAATTAAACGGTCGATGACTAAGTACAGATGCTGCTGCAGCACCATCCTCATCTTTCGTCGGCTCACGAGGCAGTCAAACTCGTCTTGCACTTTCTCAGGACTATATACGGGCCTATGTGAAGGCCTTCGACTTTCTCTTCTTATTTTCTTATCTTTCCTCTCTCATATTTCCTATACCCCCAGCGCATGCTAGCAAACCAGGCATGTGACTGGTTCATTTCTCTGCCTTCTCTTTTGTACTTTCTTCCTTTCTTGACGCCGCGTTTTACAGTTTCTGCAAAACATTGAGGGTGTTTCTTGTATCGAGCTCCAGAGCCAGGCGTATTGTATCGGCACGTGTGCACTTTCATATGCGCACACAGTACCTTTGATGGTATCACATCACCCACCCCCTTTTGCCCTCTCCGTAAAGCAGTAGATTGACCATGGTCAATAAAGAACTTCGTTCACTCTTTTGTTGCTTTCTCGCTATGTCACTTCGGCCGCCCAGATGCCGATACAACCAGTTTCCCTGGCGGGAGTATCTGATGTTGCGTAGAACCATACGCTATTATTCAGTACTGCCAGAGCAGTCGGCATGCCCGGCTTACCCACTTCGAGCGAACACCTTTTCAGTTTACTTAGATACGTCTATACACCCCGTAATGCTTGGCTTAAAGCGAAAATGTGGCATCGGCTGCTGCTCTGTAACTGTTTCTTTTGGTATTGGTTCTTGCAGTGCGTAGGTGCTGCCAGAATTTTTTATCGTATTCAAACATGAGACAACGCAAGCTTCATTACGGATGGCACAATTATAAGTTTAATTTCGAAAGACGCCTGCAGGACAAGCAGGCATATACTCGTTGGTTTTTCACAAATAATTAGTTTCTCTTGTGTTCATAAATAGCTTCCATCTTTGATGTTACATACAGTATGAGATACGGCAGCGTGAAATTTCCTAACTACCGCAAAATGTAAAGTGTACTTCTGAATTATCGCTAATCTTTGTTACATATTGCTTAAGATCGGCAACTCTCCTACAATTCCGCTCTTAAGGTCAGTAACCCTAGCTTCGTGCAAACCATGAGTTAGTTTTGGGCGAAGCGTTCGTTTAACTGCGAGGCCATGTGTTCAGGTATCGCGGTCCTCGAGGTGTTCTTGCATGGTCACATTATAACGGCCACAAAAATTAGAATGATGAGGCACGGGATACCTATTACAACAGACATTGATCAGTGACATACGCATGCATGATGCGTGGCTTAGCAAGGAGGGGACATTATTAAGCACCGAATTCGAAGCCATTTTTATAACTTTATTTCGCTTCCTTCTCTTAATTAAAATGACAAAAAATAGAGCGGTTGTCTCAAAATGGCATGGTACCCATTGGAGTACTCCTGAACATCTGAAGTCTCGATGATTGCGTGAAACAAAATTATCAGTCTGAAATGACACAATATAAATCTAAGGGCGCCACAATTAAAGGAAGGTACTGCAGACGTTGTCGTTTACGCTAGAACTAAAAGAAAACGCTTTCATTTATCAAAAGGACGCAGCCGAGTGCTCGTGCAATAGCCATTTTCGTACACTCGTTTTCCGAATATGACTAGGCAGACCATGCCACTTCTCGGGGCTTAGCAACAGAAACATGCTAATTTTAGTAAGACGAATTTGGACACACAGATACCAAATTCTGGTGGTCAGTAGTCTTTAAAACAATAGTACTCAATTGAGTACTCAGTGACTGAGTAGGATAGTCTTGTTCTGATCGTGAGGAAAGAAAACTAGCAGTTTACATTATGGCACATCTGGTGTTTGGCTAAATAGTTGACTACATCCGATTTTCGGTCGAACACGAGAAGTATGGGGTGGATGCCAGCACTCTGCTAATGTCCAGTCGACCACAAAAGTCTGCGCACCGTGCGAGCACTCGCCAAACTGCCTGTGCGTGCAGCCTAGCTGTGCGCCCTCTACCGTCGAATTCAGTATACGGCGGGAAACGGGTCTTCATGTTATTCACTGGCCTTTCAGTTTTCTGGAGGCGCGTAGCGCATTTTTTGAAGTTTTCACACGAAGCGCTTATCTGAAGCGTGAGCGTCACATGGCTGTTTTCGTAGGATCAAAGCTTTCAAGAGTGACTCAAACGGTGTTCCGTTAACAAGGTATATCACTTTGTGATAAAGATTGCGACTGATAACAGTTTTGCTCGTAGACTTCTCACGAGGCAGAAGCAGAGACACATATGTCAAAAAGTGCATCATTAAAATGCACCCAAGCAGAAGTGTCGCGAAGATGTTTTTGACCATGCGCCTATTACAACACGACGGCGCATGTCCTTGTATTTACCAGGACGCAGTGCCCAATCAACAATGACCGATTACTTTTCGCACTGGCTGCACGGATTTTTTGCGTTGGATATTTCTTTGCTTATGCGTTGTCTAATGGCGTGACACCTGACAATGCCTAAGCTAGCTCTCAAAATCTGTAAGTAACCGTTTCTGAGACTGCTCTCGCTTGGCGCCGGAGGGCAGCCGCCAGTCGTGTATTAAGGTGACATGGTACGATTACGGCCGCAAAAGAGACCATTGTTCTCAAAGACTCGTCAAATAACAAAGTTAAGGAAAGGTAAGCGCTATTTCACAACCAAACCAAGGCAGTTATCTGTGGTTCTTAAGGAATGCTGCCGATACATAACACTGACCTTCAGGTTGTGTTTCGTCTTCGCTGGAAGCTTTATTTTCTGGCACTCGTCTTCACGGAAAGGCTGGGCATCCAGGGGACAGACACTGTCGCCGTCTCGGACGACACACCCTGTTACACAATGCTCGCACAGACTGTGGGAACAGGGCAGCAGTACCGTCGTGCTCGGAATGACGTGGCACACGCAGCAGGCGTAGCGACTCAACGTCAACTCGTCTTCGAACTTGGTCGGGCGCCAGTTAACGCCACTCAACGAATCGCACAGGCGGTACAAAGCTCGAGGCCCTGCGGGATCCGGCATGGTGGCGATGACTGCAGAAGTCAGATTGATTTGGCTGCAATCGGGCTCGAGGCCGCAGTGGGCGTTCGCTTAGTCACGGGATTGCTGATAATGACGTCACAAAGGGGAGGCGCTGCGGCTGCCGCCTTGAAAGGGTCAGCGCGGATAGGCGCTCTCTGCACGCAGTGTCCTTCAATGAAGTAGGTGCTTGCCGCAGAGCCGAGGTTTCCTGTGGCGCGTCGAGTGTTTTCCGAACGCAACTTACTCGCTCGTTTTTGCCCTCACACCGGCAGTGGGAGGTGGCCGCTTTAGAATGTTATCAAATGAGCAAAATCGCAAACGACACAGACACTGCAAAATGTGCAACGCCGAAAGACGATACACAAGTTGGAGTACATAGGACAGGCGTCGAACTAGCTACTCTTTTCTTGATTAAGAAAAAGATAATAAGTACAAGCAGTGTCGCGGCGCGCGCCTTTTTATGCTGCAGAAATTGTCATGTTTGTTTTTCAAGCATACGCTAATTTCAGAAGCTCAAAATATTTGCAAAATGTCTTGACGTAAACGCTGTGTCTCCCCCCCCCCCTCGCCTTAAGATTGGGAGTTAACGTGACGCTGTAACCGTGGTAGAATGGTGAGAGGTCTGTCACACAAGAATGTATCCTCCGTTCAGCATTGAACTCGGTTTGTAACCTGAGTATGTGCTGTTATACAAAGTCAATGAACACGTAGAAAAAAATATATATGACAGAGTGGCACGTACTTTATAGGGACAATGAAACAGTTGAAAAAAAAAACGAGGATGTGGTGTCTAGCTACGTAACTTGATGCGGCCAATAAAAAAATCAACATGAAAATTTGCATAAACCAGTGCAAATGAGAATATTTTGCGAAAACAAGCAACTGGCGCCGCGGCCATCATCGCGAGTTTCGCCGCCAACTATGATTTGTCGAAGCTTCATGACATCACACGCTCGACGGGAGCTGATTGCGCTCGCCGGCAGGCAATGCCTGGTTTATCTGTTAGAGTCGGCCAGTTGCTGTTAGTACGGTGAACTGTAGAAGTCGTAAGGATCTCACTGTACACCTTTGCATATTCCAGTCGGTCGCCAATGTAAGAGCGATGACCGAAGACAACGTCAGAGCTGATGACACGGAAGAAGAAAGCGAGTCCAAAGGAGCCACCTTTATCCGTGTCGAAAACATAGGCTGGACTGTGCTAGATTCTTGTCAATGCTTAATTTTACTGTAGAAAACTGATTCAGATGATACGCTCAACCACTGATATTAAATCCGCTGAGGAACAACAGCATCCGTACGTGCTTTTAGCCGCACTAAGCGCGGGCATCCCGCGGGAACATCACCTGTTTGTGGATTTCACTGCTCAGAATTCAGCGTTCTTGGTGCAGTCAGCATCGCTCTTTGCAGCGGGCAAGAAGCATACGATGAGTCAATGCGCTACCACAAGAAAAAAAAAAAAAGCCACACCAGTGCCGCACTTTTCCGCAGTGGAGATATGAGCTCGGAACTGCGCTGTAAGCTTGCGCATGCATAGCTTGACTCGCATATATTGCAGTTCTGTTGACAGTACCTTCGTTTTTTCTAAATTCTGGCCCGTACTACAGTGGTTGTGTGTTCAAATGCAAGTGGAATATTAGTTGTGTTAGAAGCATGCGACTGTCGTGTTGAGTGTCTGATTGAGATGCTCTGGGCTGATATCTGTGTATGCGTGTTTTCGCCACAGGTACGCATTGCGTCCAAATGGTAAAGAGCAGAGTTCATACGCAGAAAAATCACAGCAGTTCAAGCTGCTTGAAGATAATTATGGGGCGAAGCTTTCGGAGGTGATTATTGTGATTAAAGTTGAGATAGTACTGAGACTGATTGTGGTTGTGACACTTACATATTTTTTTTTATTGAAAGAGATAGTGCTGAGACCGATTGTGATATAGCGGGGTTTCTTTTTTATAGCTGATATGATGTTCCGAGTTCCGGGTTACGTTTTGATTTCATAATCACAGCTTCATTAGCTATCGTCTCTGGTGTAGAATTTTCTTGTCGGTATTGCCGCCTTGCACCCGCTTCAAGTTGTCTCAGTTGCGCGTCAGCTTGGCGTTTTTCCCGCTTAGCCTTTGCTTCCTTAGCCCTAGTCTGTGGTGTAAAACTTTGTTGTCGCCACCGCCGCTTTGCATCCGCATCCTTCTCTTTTGTCTCCATGGTAGCTTCCCGTTGACGGCGACGCTGATACTCAGCACGTCGCGCTTTCCTGCGTTCGTCTTCGTCCATATGAGAGAAGATAATGTGTGGTTTGGAACGTGGTTATATATATATATATAGCGTTGACAGCAGCGCCATCACATGTACAATTAAGCACAGCGCCCTCTGTTGCTTATAAGTTGAAGGTTACATGCAAAACGATTACCACCAACGCCCTCTGTTGCTTATAAGTTGAAAGTTACATGGTGTTACGGACAGACGGGAGACGGCGGACATCGTGAGGTCTTAAGGAGCTTCGCTCCTTAAAAGACGCGCCTGAACATTCATGCTGCGATGTTATTTTGCAGTTCCACATTTCTTTCTTCTGTAGCGTGTAATAAATATACCGTCACCTTAATTTCAACATAGTGATATAGCACGTCTGCATTAATCAATCTCAACACTACTGCCATGGCGAGCCCCATTCAGCACAGTGGGGATTATAAGCAGCAGAACATTGTTGTACAGCCTGGGCTTCTAAAAAAGAAAGCTAGGGAACACTTTGGGTGCCAGTAGTACGTTCACTTACAATATGCGAATTCGGAAGTATTCACTCTTATCAAATGTGTCACACGTGCAATGATAGAAATCGAGAAAGTTTTTATTTAAAGGAAGCTGTGTTACGCGTTCAGCTGGAACTACGATATTGTTTCATGTGGTGGCATAAAGCCTCAAACATATGTAGCGCTTTTCCGGCGTTTCATACGCCGGCGTCACTCGGCGTCGACGCTGCCAGTGACGGTGGCCGAAGCGTCCACTTCGGGACGATTCAGATATCTGCTGCGCCGACGCCGGCAGCAAGTCGACAAATATACAGAACCAATCAGAGCGTGGCTGCCAGCTAGCCACTTCCGTTGCGCTACACCATCGTTTGCTGCTGGCAAAAAGGCTGCCGCCCGCCTCGGATCAATGTACAAAGTTTCACACAAATACCTAAAGAGAATTGTGGCGCCACTGTCTATGCGAATGTTTTAAGGGGCGAAGTTGGAGCGCTGGTAATGACGGTGTATGTGTCTGCGAGGCGTTTGTTGGCTGGTGTTGAGCGAGGATTCGGCTCAAAAGCGAAGACGACTGCGTAAATAAAGCTTTTCTAAAACAAAACGTTTATAAGCGTATTCATTCACGCATATTATATTCTAAAATAAAAGTCCACTTACCTTGACGGCACATCCAAATGGCGAAGGAAAAGAAGAGGCGGCATAAACGGGGCAGAAAAAAAGCTCGCTTTGTCGTCTGCCTGCCAAGTTTAGCAACCGTTGGTTACTTCTTACGCTTCGTAAAATTGCGCATCAACGTAGAAGCTTCCAGTGTTAAATACAACACGTTTCTCAGCAATGACAAAAACGAATAGAATATTCGTGCTAATTTAGTAAGAAATCAACCATTTTAACGTGAAGCCAGACGCGTCTTCGAGGTATACATAAATCCTAGTGAAGTTCGAAGCTCACGTGTCCCGTCATTCCCTTGCATCCAGCAGCTCACTAGCGCCAGATTTGGCTGTATGATTGTGAGAAACTCTAGGGATCTCTGGACCTTTCCAGAAATCGCAGCGCCGCGCCTTTACCTGGTGGATCGGCGCTGCGGCATTATGGGAGAGCGGAGTGCCGGCGGGCAGAGCAGACAACGCTTTCCGGCTTTCGCCTGCTTTGATCGCGCGCCTCGAGTGGTTTCGGCTGGCGTAAGAAGCTGCTAATGTGAAAATCCACTACGTCTGACCGCTCTGACTTTCTTTCATACATACTAGACTGTGTTGTTCGTCACAAATAACCTTAATCTTCTTTGAACATGCCGAATAAGGAAAGCTGCTGACACACGTTCTCCGTTCTCGGATGTGATATTACGATAATGTCACCGGACGTTTCGTTTATTGCTTACCCCCCACGGTGGTCACTCAGCTGCTGATCCGTAGGTCGCGGGATCGAATTCCTGCGGCGGCGGCGGCTGCATTTCCGATGGAGGCGGAAATGTTGCAAGACAGTGTGCTCAGATTTGGGTGCACGTCAAGGAACCCCAGGTGGTCGAAATTTTCGGAGCCCTCCAGTACGGCGTCTCTCATAATTATATGGTGGCTCTGGAACGTTAAACCCCAACAATTATATTATTCGTTCGTTGCTTGGTGATACTCCATAGATTCGAGATTTGTGGTGCTGCAGCTAAGTAGAACCTTTGTTGAGATGTCTGTGTCATCACTCACTGTGACTATAGGGCTGGGAATTCACACTTGGAGCATACCGTGTAATTAACTACACAAATTCATTAAGGCAAGAGGCTTAGATACCTTAATAAAAACTCGCAGGGGCCCTCTCCATTCACCTAAGACAATTCGATGGCGAAAGCCATCTTTTCTTCTCAGTCGATGTACTGATCATACCCCGCCAGTCTAGGACTGTCAGCAGAATTCTACCGTGGGTGCAAACCTGTCTTGCATCTCGGCTGGGGGAGTGCACTGGTATAGCTTGGGTGTGAGCAAGTGCTGGTGTGGCTTGAAAGGGGCCAGTGCCCCTTTTGCACCACCCCGGCCGACGACCCTGCCCACCCCCGTTCACACCATCCTTTGACAACTCCCTGTACCTAACGAGGTTTGCACTGCCTCAAAAATTGAAGGCAGTGCAAAACAGATTTTGCATTGCCTTCATGATCACACCACATTAGACCAAGCTCGAATGACAAGCGATGACGTAATCACGTGAAGTGGTGCGGTGTTTTGATAACTTCACACTTTTTGGCGTTGTCAGACGTCATATGTGTTGTCACCATTACGTGATGATTTTTTTCGATCACTCGACGCCGCGACGCAGGACGAAAACGGTCAAGTTTCACATTTGATTAAGTATTTACGGTGTTTGGCTAAAAGCAAAATTGACCATCGGTGGCGATGTCAACAGGAGTGATGCAAAAATTATCGCGTG